CTTCTGATCAGGTGGAGTACCAGATTGTAGAAAGCCACAGTTTCAGCACAGATTGAAAGGAGCACATAGCTGTAGGTGCCTGGGATGGTACAGTGTTCAAGCTCAGCACAAAGCTTATTAATCTGGGAAAATTCAGATCTGTGTAGGAAACGCCTACCTGCCAATGACTTGCTATAACCTATTGAGTGAAGGATAATGTTCCATCTGTTAACCAGGAGAGGGTCCTCTGCAATCTCCCATGGATGTTAGGAAGTGCTAGAAAAGACTGGAGTGACAAGGGCGGCGAGAGGGTAGTGGTCTTGGATGTAAGAACTACACCAGTGATAACAGCCAACCACCACAGAAGGGGTCAGTGCGTAAGGAAAGCGGTCTGTGAACACAGCATAGTGAACAGCAGGTTAGAGAGCAGAAAGAGGTCACCTTTGGAGTGAGATGGGGAAGACAGTTGTCAGCAGTTGAAGGCTTGTTTGGAAAAGATCTGTTTTGTTTTTAAATTGTTAAACAACTATGTTTTGCTGGGTGGTGGTGGCTCACGCCTTTAACCCTAGCACTCAGGAGGAAGAGGCAGGCAGATCTCAGTGAGTTTGAGGCCAGCCTGGCCTACAGAGCAAGTTCCAGGACAGGCTCCAAGGCTACAGAGAAAACCTTGTTTCAAAAAACAACAGCAACAACAACAAAACAAAATCTTTAAGTATTAATATGTATTAGGCGTGAACTGTTTTGTGACCAGTTTGGAATGTAATCAGATCAGTGGTGCCTAAGACATAGATCTGATGGTGTCTCTACCTAGATCTTACTCACAGGAGAGTAGGCTTGTGTTACTGACTTTAGTGAGGACGGTATCATTCCTTTTGAGGCAGAATCTTATGTAACCCAGAGTGTCATCAAAGTCATATAGCTAAGGATGACCTTGAGCTTCTCTGATCTTCCTGCCTACCCCTCCCAAGTGATGGGATACAGACATGTATCACCATGTCTGACTCAGTGTGGTGCTTGGGATTGAATTCATGCTAGGCAGGCAGTCACCAACTGGAGTCTCAGGACAAAGACAACATCTTACCAGCTTGGATTTAATGGTTGTCTCATCTTCTAAGGCTATGTAAGGAGCACCTGGATTGCATGGCTAGAAGTTTCTGTTACATTATCTGGAGCCAGGATTAAGAGAAGTTTTATTTTCTAGTTTTAAAATCATTTTAAAGTTATATTTTATTTACTTCGGGTGGACATGTGTGGCATTCTGAAGACAACTTGTGGGAGTTCCTCCTTTCCTTCCACCATGTGGGTCCTAGGGATTGAACTCGGGTTGTCAGGCGTAGCAACGGGCACCTTTATGTGCAGAATATATAATGTTATCATTCATATTTTTGCATATCACAAAACTGGGGTAAACTGAGACTCTTACGACGAGGTGTTGACTAAAGTTAGGGCATGTGAACCCCATCCCTGGGGAGGCTACTGGGTAGAACCCACACTCCAGGCAATGTGCAGAAGAGGAAGAAATGTTCTGGGCCCAGATCTGCCATAGCAAGGACACTGTTTGCTTATAAGAAATGTGAGTCCTGCTTTCCCATTTTCTCATCCATAAATGTGCACAGGGCATGTGTGTGCGTGGTTGGGACCTTAGCACTGGGTATCCACCTGCAGTAGATGAAGACAAGTGACCAATCTGCTTGCCTGCCTGCATGGTAGTTTCTACCCCATTGGTGTTATGGTTTGCCTTGTCCACACACTTGTTGTTTTTGTGATCATGGATGTGATGATGTGCAATGTACCAAGAAACCAAAGTAGGTGATTCCTAGGAGGCCTGGAGATGACGCCAGGCTGGCCATTTTTGAGTGCTGGAGCCTTCAGAAAACACTGGTACAGTTTGGCAGGGTGTGTGTTGCCTTTACCACAGAATGCCAACTTTTTCTCTCAATACTGTACACTCGTGGTACTTGTTCCGTGGCCCAATACTTACCAGCACTCTCCATTTTGTGAGTTTCACTGGATTTTTAATTTATACCTCCCAGTTTAGTAATAAAGTTGATCAGCTGAAATCCACTTAATTTGGATTTTTTTTCCCTTTAGTGACTTTGTCTTTATTATTTAGAGCGGAAGTGGACAAAGTTTCTCTTTAAAAAGTTTCTCTTTTCATCAGTGTCATGGCTGGCCCTGTGACACTAAGGACAGCAACACCACTCCATCCTGAGGACCTGAGTTTGCTAAGCCCTGGTCCTTATTGCAATCCTAATATGTTGTAGATATGTGCACCTCAGTTCATAATAGAGCCACATAATGTAATCATGAACTAGAAAAGATAGTAAATACCCCTGACTTACTTGTCATCTGAACATGGCACCACATACTGTGTTAAGTGTTAGCATTTCCTTGCGGGATTGTGGGTAAGTGTGATCTGGTGCCACCCTACCACTAGGAGTATGTCATGCCTGTCCTTTGTTTTAAATTGTAAGATACTCTTTTCATCAGTTTATTGTGTAGTGGGGACTTGAGCATCTGCCTGAGACCCGTGGGCCACCCTTGCTGGCCAGTTCATAGCAGACAGCTCACCCTGTTGGAATCTTGTGTCCCATGAGAATGGAACTGTTATGTTCTTTGTGGGCAATTTTCTCCTCCTACAAGTAACCCTGCATAGCTGGGAGCACCCTTCTTTTCCTCACTTCCAAGAAACAGCCGTTGTGTGGGGCCCCATCTTCTTATGGGCTGCCTGCTGATGGGCAGCCCAGTCACCTTCATCTGAGACTTTTGTGCGTTGGACCTGTGATTGTTCACATCTGAGTTCTTGAGCAATCATGCGTTAGTGTCTCCTTTAACAGGGTTAAAAGTATGTCCTTACAGACTTCTAGGATTTCTAAAAATAATGAATGGATGGCTTATAAAATATTTTTTGGCCGGGTGTTGGTGGCGCACACCTTTAATCCCAGCACTTGGGAGGTAGAGGCAGGTGGATCTCTGTAAGTTCGAGACCAGCCTGGACTACCAAGGGAGTTCCAGGACAGCCTCCAAAGCCACAGAGAAACCCTGTCTCGAAAAAAAAAAAAAAAAAATTTTTTTACATGTCTGTTGGAAAGATCACATGTTCTACTTTTACCTTTTGTCATGCTTTCCCTTGTATTGTTGCCTACCCACACTCCTGATACACCTAACTTGATCCAGAATGACGCTACCTTCATATACTAGATGAGGGTGGTCAGTGCTCTTGCCTTGGGGTCGGGTAGGTCTGTTAGTTTTCTTCCAAGTCTCACCTTGCTAAGAGTTTGGTGTATAGCTAGTAGTTTCATAAAGTAAGTTAGAGCGGCTGGAGAGAGATGGCTCAGCAGTTAAGAGCACTGGTTGTTCCTCCGAGGGCTTGGGTTCAATTTCTAGCACCCACATGGCAGCTCACAACTGTCTGTAATTCCAGTTCCAGGAAATCTGACACCCTCACAAAGACATGAATGCAGACAAAACATGAATACATTAGAATTCTAAAAAAAATTAAATCAAGTGAGTTAGAGACCCTTTGGAAGGTGCATGTTCTGGCCCCAAGTACTTTTACCACCTGAAAGGGTGATTTGCTCTTAGTTTTGGAAGAACCGCAGACACAGTACTTTGTCTGTCTGTCTGTCTTGGTTTTTTGAGACCAAGTTTCTCTGTGTAGCCCTGGCTGTCCAGACCTGGAACTCACTCTGTAGACCAAACTGGTCTTGAACTGAGAAACCTGCCTCTACCTCCCAAGTTGTGGGATTAAGGGCATGAACCACCACTGCCCAGTAACCCATGAAGAAAATTTTGTGACTACTTATTCAGATAGTAGTGAACATTTTGGGTTTTCTTTACTAGTTTCAATTCAGTTTTTCACCCCCCCCCCAGGAATGTATCCATTTCATACAAACTTCATTTTACAAAATTACATGTAAGCCAGGAGTGATGACACATGCCTTTAATAACCCCAGCACCAGAATTAAATACAATTAGCCATGCACAGTGCCTTATACTTAAGCCCAACACTTGAGAGGCTGAGGCAAGAGAATCACTGCAACTTTGAGGTCAGCCTGGGGTCCATAGGGAGTTTTAGGCCGGTTAAAGCTACGTAGTGGAACTCTGTCTCAAAGCAGTGAATGAATGAATGAATGAATGAATGAATGAATGAATGCCACGCTCTGATTCTTTTGTCACAGAAGCCACCAAGTTTCAAGGGGCAGCAGTTTTGTATGGTTGGTGTGACCTCCATACTAGGCAGGGCTAGTTTAAATATTTCCTCCCTTGGTTTACCCGGTAGGACATACTCTCTCTCGTACCTCCTCATTCCCCTTCTTCATTTTGTACAAGTTTCCTAGGTTGATGAGTTAATAAACACGTGTTCTGAAGCTGGAGAGTAGGACTAGTGGTCAAGTGTGCATACTTGTTCTCCCAGACGACCACGTTCCTTTCTTAGCACCCACATCAAGCAGTTCATAATAGTCTGTAACTTCAGCTTCAGGAATCCAATTCCCTTTTCTGCAAGACACCCATACACACATCACACACACACACACACACACACACACACACGCACACACACACACACACACACACACACAGGGGCGGGAGGGAGGGGTGCACACACATGCACACATAAATATAAAAACTCTTTAAAAATGAAGTTCTAGAAAAATTTAAAAGGTGAAATTATCTCAGTTGCATTTAAGACCGAGCTCATTCCAGGGCATGTTATGTTACATCGTTTCCAGGCTGTATGTGATCAGTCCTTAAGCCACTAATACCTCTTCCTGCCTCTTGGGCCCCAAAGCAAGCAACGGAGCCGTCTTTTCTGTCCCTTACACCGTAAACTGTGCATTTGCTCTGGCTTGGGTGGGGCTCAGGAACTCTGGGAGGCACACCTTCTGAACCATCACTCTTGGGTACGCGTACAGCAAGTAAATGAGCGGACGAGTTCAACCAGACAGTACTGAGAATTGCTAGGGTCTTAGGGTGAGACAAGATCACCCATGCTGACACCCGTCTCTGCTTCTCCACAGACTTCACAATGTAGCCCTGATTCCAGGCTGTCATTCACAGGTAAGCGTAGCTGAAGCTGATACCCCTTTCTGGCTACCTATGACTCAGTATGGTAGCCACCTCATATTTCCTTGAAGTTTGGTCTCTAGCAGCCGACTGTGGGGTTATTTGTGGTTCTTGCTTGTCTTCCAGCATTTCTAGTATGCCCTGTCCCCTGATTTAATATATGGAACTCATCTAAGATATAGTACAGGTATAATGTGGGATTGTATGCAGGACCGGCATCAGTGTGCTTTGAATTAACAGTTCCATTTTTGTGCTAGAAAATGGGAAAGGAACAAGGGACAGAAGGAAGGTGCAGAAGCCAGCCAGAACACAGAGTAAGGAGGGATCATCACATCCACTTGGTGGCCTGAAGCCTCCATGCCACCGGGTGAGGAAGGACTCACAGACATCCAGAAGAGGTGAGATCTGGGATTCTCCTAAGGGGCCATGCCGTCTAGGATAGGGAGGTCTGGGTTCTGTCTGAAGAGTAAGGAGTTTGACCCTGTTTTTACTCTGCATGCTGTCTCTCTAGAGTGCCACTGGTTCAGGGTGGGGCAGGTGCATTATATCCATCAGTCATTTGCCTAAGAGAGGTCCATAGCTAGAAGGTACCATGGCCCAGATGGGCTTTTCTGGGGCTGTATGACCCTGCTATCGTGTTGACAGGCCATGTGACAGGTCCAGGTCCAAGTGGCTGCTGGTGAAGTTGGATCCACAGGGTCTAATCTAGCTTCCTACTGGGCTCTGTGTCTTTCTGGTAGACAGTGTGGTGGCTAGGGACAGTCCCTTGAGTTGCGGTTCAGACTCCACTTACCACTGAGGCCTGAGGTAGGTCACTCATTATTCGATGATAGGCTGAGAAGAGATGGGCCATGTGTCTGACAAAAAGGATGGGAAGGGTTCTTACACTTGCTACATCTGTGGGTAGAGGGAAGTCAGACTGGGAAGGAGACAGACACCTAGTGTATTAGTCAAACAGACTGTGGTCCAGCCGGTCTAACAATGACTGACTCCCAGCAGCAAGTTCAGGAATCCAGTCGTTTTTTAGTCCGTGAGGCTGGATATCTTAACTGGTCTTCAGTATACACTAGAATCCCAAAGAAGTAGGTTCCAGAGCCAGTGAAGGGATGGATTTGCTAGCAAGATAGACAAAGAGAGCAGGCTTCCTTCTTCTGTGTCCTTGCTGCCTCAAAAGAAAAATGGGTCTTCCTACTGTAATTAAGAAAGAAATTCCTCACAGGTATACACAGCCACTTGAGTTTTATAGTTAATTCCAGATGTAGTCAAGTAGACAACCTAGATTAGTCATCACAGTTACTTCAGTGTATTTTTCCTGCAGAAGCCAAAGATGTTGACCAGGAAGATTAAACTCTGGGACATAAACGCCCACATCACGTGCCGCCTGTGCAGCGGCTACCTCATTGATGCAACTACAGTGACTGAGTGTTTGCACACATGTGAGTACAGCCAGTTCTGCTCTGATCTGAATGGGGTAGGGGCTGCTCCAGCACAGGGCCAGAAAAGAACAGAGGTCTTGAGGGGTAGTTGGAAAACTTATCTTAAACTAGGGTTGCCATAGGTAACTCTCTGGAGGGAAGTTTCTGTCAGGAAAGTGAACAAAAGAAAACTGTTTTTCTTGTTTCTGGTGTAGTGATACTCTTTTCTAGCAGGGAGGTACATGTGAAATTTCAAGTGAAGTCTTTTCTTTTTAATAGTCAAGCATTTGTGGGATTTCAAGGTTCAGTATGGTGCCTGTTGCCTGTTACTCATTCTGCTTGTCGAGCCTGAACCTATTCAGGATAGGTTTTTTTTTCCTTTATATTGTTGTCATTATTTTAGTTATTTTATAATTTTTATATCTACGAGTGTTTAGCCTGTGTTAATGTATGTGTACTACATGCTTGCAATACCAGGAGAGGCTTGGAAACGAAGGGATTGGTTCCTGTCCAACTAGAGTTGTGGTTGCAGACCACCACATGGATGCTAGAAACTGAGCATCAAGTATTCTTAACCACTGAGCCATTTCTCCAACCCCCCTAAGATTTTTTAAAAGTTTTTCTGTCTCACTGGAAGACAGACATCCTGTGTGGATCACTTAGAGGCGTGACTGCTGCATGACAGTGCATACAGTGACCAACACATAGAACTTCCATCCTATACATTTTGCATTTTGAAAATGTCTTCCATTTTCAAAGAATTTTTAGGCTACGATTAATTGAATTGTTAGAAATTGGTGGTACAATTTTGCTGAATTTTACCTAGTTTTGATGTATTAGACAGTTTTATCACCTTTTAGGCCAAAATGCAGATTTTTAAGTATCAGTTATATTCTCATGATCTTGCCACATAGTGACTTAGACAACCACTCCTTGGTGTTTCTTCTCCAGTTAGTTCCCAGGCCAGGAGTGTGTAACAGGTGGTAACCGCACAGTGCGGCCCAAAGGCACCTTCTTTTCAGAGGTCAGGAACTATGTAGAGGAGGTCGTTTGTGTGAGTGCCCTCTTAATTGACTGGGCATGGTACCAACTGGCACCTCTCTTCTGGGTTGCTGTCGTCCTCTCCCTTTGGATAGTCTGCAGGAGCTGCCTGGTGAAGTATCTGGAGGAGAATAACACCTGCCCCACGTGCAGGATCGTGATCCATCAGAGCCACCCACTGCAGTATATTGGGTGAGTGATACCATGGCTGGTGCTCCCTAGCCGTCATGTCCATACATCTGCATACTAGTGGCCGCCTTGGCCTGGGCCCCCAGATGCTACACCGCAGGTGACCAGGGCCATGCCACTGAATATCTAGTAGCACCTGCTCTGGAGACCATGAGAACTATTAAAATCTTACAAGTTTTCCCAAACTAAAAGTTTGAAGTAGAAGGGACCTCACACCTCCCTTTCTTTAGAGTAGTAACTTCCCCCTGGGCTAGAATTTGAGCCGAGGAAGCAAGGGCCTGTAAGTGGAATTTCTGATTTCAAAGGTCACTCTGAAGGAAATATGACATGAGGGAATCAGAGAAAATGAACTAAAAGGAAAAGGTATTTGCTTTTCACTTTAAAGTTGTACAGCATGTCAACTCAGTAGCAGTTCAAGTTGAGTTGTCTGATCTTGGAAGCCCCTCTAGACTTCCAGTACTGCTGACGCCACAGTTTCTGCCTCCCTCCCTGAGATGAGAGTGTTTTCTGTGTGCCTAACTTTATTGCCAAATCATCTGTTTATAGAATCACTCTCTGGAAAAGACCTCATGGTCTACATATCCTATGTGGTGAACATGTGGAAATGTCTAGCAGTTTGTATTAAGTACTGTCCTGAGTCCCTGCCAGTGTCCCACATGTAGAATGGGTGGGGACATCTGATTTAAAGAACTTCTGTCCAGCCAGGTGTTGGTGGCACACGCCTTTAATCCCAGCACTCGGGAGGCAGAGGCAGGTAGATCTCTGTGAATTGGAGGCCAGCCTGGTCTACAGAGCAAGTTCCAGGACAGCCTCCAAAACAATAGAGAAACCCTGTCTCAAAAAAACAAAAGCAAAAAAAAAAGGAACTCTGTCCAGATTCCCATTGTCTCTTGAACCAAATTCCTATGCTCTGTGTTCTGGCTAATCCTGTATCAGGGGTACATTTTTAGTTTTGTCACCATGATGACTCTAGGCACATCACTACCATAGTTATCCCTAAGCCTGGTGCCTTCCCATGCATCAACTCACTGTTGGGACTTCCTTGTGATGCCACCTGTCTCTGGGCTCTGTTCTGCTTTTTCTGTCCTCATGAGATAGATAGATAGCATAGGCTGTGTCACCGTCTTTCTCTGGGGCGCAGTTTCCTGTAGAGCTCAGAAGCAGGGTCTCCAACCTGGTGAGGGGGCTTCCTTGGGGCTGGGGAGGCTGCTGCCCTCTTTAGGGTTGCTGGAGTTTGCTGAGGAGGCAGAACACTAAAGAGCTATCTTGTGGGCAGATCCTGTAATGCAAGCTTAGATTGTCGTGCAGACACGAAAGAGAATTGGGGGAGGAGCACAGCAGTGGACCAGGTGTTGGATAAGTAAAGGAAGCAGGGAGGTATCTTGGCCTGAGTGTCATGACTTATGTTATGATCTAGATAGCAGCTATTGCCTGCCATAAACCCTTGACCTCTAGAGGCTCTTAGCCTCTCTCTGTCTCTCTGGTTTTATGTAGTCTTGAACTTTTGATCTTCCTGCTTCTGCCTCTGAAGAACTAAGATTTTTTAAGAATGTTCTACCATAACCCTGTTTATGCAGTGCTGGGGATCAAACCCAGAGCTTTGTGAATGCAAAGCAAACATTCTACCAGTTGAGCTTTATCCCCAACTCTCTTAGCCCCTCTCTCACTGACAGTGTCTGGGTTCCGTCTGAAATTGTCTAGGGTGATACCGCTGATGGTGCCATGCTCTGCTCCTGACTTTGTTTCACCTACTGAAACCTCTTGCCTGATTCTCTACTTCAGCGGGGAAGGAGAGGAAGCCCTATGGTATTATGTAGATGGGGCTTTCTTGGCTTCAGCATTTACATCTCAAGATTTAGGGTAGAAAGATGTGTACCCAGCAGTAGCAGGGATGATCCAAGCAGGTGGTGGAGACTTGCAGAGAGTGTTGAAAAAGCCTCTGTCAGTTTGCAGTGTGAGGATGCTCATTTTGAGAAAACAGCTCCACTTTAAGAGCCTTCCATCCAAAAAGTACCTTCTGTTGTGTTTCCCACTAGTCCCCTTTAGGCCTCCACAGTAGACAAAGCTCGGCATCATTGCTTGGTACTCAAGTGTGGAGCTCTGACTACCAACTCTACTCAGCATGGTCTTGATCTGTGAGCTCTAGCAGAAGCTAAATGGGTGTGGTAAAGTATGTCATGGGCATCAAATTTTTGAAGGGCCCTGTATTAAAATGTACAGTTGGGCCTCATAGCCAAAAGCTTTCACAGCACAAGAATTTGGTTCATGCAGTGAGTGATGGCCTTACAGCAGTTAGATGGCTACAGTTGCACTACTAGGACTTGCCCATGAGTAGCCACTGGACTGAGCCCAGGTTGATTAGATTCCTGTGTATTTGTTGAAATGTAATCATTGACCAGTTACTAGATTCATACAGGTGTATACAATAAGGATTAGAAGTTAAAATGGCTTTGAAAATTAGGCAATTCTCTCACTTTATTGAAGAAATTACTTGACATTTTTTATGTTTAAAAATAGCAAACTATAGTAGGAGCCATATTGTAGATAAAGCAGCTCTGCACCTTCACATTTGCCTGTGCACAGGAAGTTGAGCCTACCCTTTGTCCAGCAAGCTGATGCATCGATTCAAGTCCTAGATAACCTTTTTTTTTTTTTTTTTTTTTTTTTTTTGGTTTTACGAGACTAGATAACTTTTAGAACATGTTTGTCATTGCAAACTAGAAGAAAATCCAGCCTGGAGTTGTTAAATAGAAGATGTAAGTAATTATAGCATCTACATTGGTTGACCCTGCCCTGCCAACCTCTTCTCTTTTTGCAGTCATGACAGAACCATGCAGGACATTGTTTACAAGCTGGTACCAGGCCTCCAGGAAGGTGAGTTGAAACACTGCTCAGCCCAGGTCCATAGCTAGGGCTTTGGCTCTTGGACCCAAACCCCTTCCTCAGCAGAGTCCCCATTTCCAACATGTCTGTTCTTAGTTCTAGATTCTCCATTGTCTTCCTGAGATACATAGGCTGTGTTAGTTTTGGGAAACAGCAACACCTCAAGATAAAAGGCTGAGATCTTCAGAAGCATTTGCAATAGAATTTTATAAGGATGTAGCCAAGTACATGAAGGTCTCTGTGCTGTGATCACTGATTTTTGTTTGTTAGTTTTGTATCCTGCTACTTTGCTGAAAGTGTTTATCAGCTGTAGGAGTTTCCAGGAAGAATTTTTAAGGTCAGTTATGCATACAGTGGTATCATCTGCAAATAAAGATACTTTGACTGCTTCCATTTGTAATCTCTTGATCTCCTTTGTTTGTCTTATTGTGCTAGCTAAGACTTTTGGTTATTGAGAGAGTGGATAACCTTGTCGTATTCCTGACTATAGTAGAAATGTTTTGAGTTTCACTCTGTTTAGATTGATGTTGGCTGTGGACTTGTAAATCGCCTCTATTATGTTGAAGTGTGCCCCTTGTATCTCTAGTCTCTACAGGACTTTTATCATGTAAGGGTGTTGGATTTTGTCAAAAGCCTTTTCAGCATTTAATGAGATGATCATGTGGTTTGGGGTTGAACCATCCCACACACCTCACTGGTAGCGCTGACCACACCTGATTAGCTCAGTGGGTAGAGCATGAGATTCTTAATCTCAGGGTCATAGGTTCATGCCCTACGTTGGGCACCAGATATGTACTCAAGGATCAAGATTCACTGGGCTAAGATCAATTAGGTTAATATAATTTTATCTGGGGAGAAGGCACTTACACAGGAAACAGATGACCACTGCAAGTTCCGGCTCCAAGGAGGCTGCTCTCTGCAACCCGCCTGGAACCAGGAGAGCAAGCTTGGTGGGGGTGTGGGTGGGTATCTCACTACAGTAGATGGTCTGTTTGATGTGTTCTTGGATTTGTTCTGCAATTATTTTATGTATAGATTTTGCATGTTCATAAGAGAAGTTGCTTTGTTCCTTCTGTTCCTATTTTATGGAGTAATTTGAGGAGTATTGGCATTAATTCTTCCTTGAAAGTCCGGTAGAATTCTGTGCTAAAACCATTTGGCTCTGGGATTTTTTTGTTTTGGTTGGGAGACTTGTAATGACTGCTTCCATTTCACAAGGGGTAATAGGTCTGTTTAAATTGCTTATCTCATCTTGATTTAACTTTGGTAGATGGTATATATTGAGAAAATTATCCATTTCTTTCACATTTTCCAATTTGGTAGAGTACAGGTTTTAAAAGTATGTCCTTATGATTCTCTGCATTTTCTTTGTATCTGTTTATTTGTTTGTTTTGGTGGGGTTTTTGTTTGTTTGTAGATAGGGTCTGACGAACTCTGGCTGGCCTTGAATTCATTGAGATTCACCTGTGTCTGCCTCCCAAGTGCTGGGATTAATAGGCTTGTGCCAACATTCCTGGGAGTGTTTCTGTATCTGTATATACCTGACATTGGATATTAGACCCTCCCCTTTTTTTTTCTGTAACCAACGCCCCAGAGAACTAGTTTTGTTGTGCTGTTTAGGGTTTTGAGTCCATGGTCATCTGGTTCTATTATTTGTGGGCCATGGGGAAGCAAAGGAGTATCATGATGGAAGGGTGCTGGCAGAGCAGAGGTGCTGACCTTGTGGTGGCCAGGAAATGGAGGAGCAAATACAGGCAAGAAGGACTAGGAGCAAGCTCTTTAGAAGCATGCCCAGGGACCTGCTTCCTACAGCGAGGCCCTGCCTTTTACACCTCTCAGTAATGCTCTCAGATTACCCATTGAAGTTAGAGCTCTCCTGAACCAGTCTTCTCCCAAGAGCCCCACAGCTGACAACCTTAAGAATGAGGGAGCCTTCAGAAGACATTTCTGATTCAAATCACACACTGGGGTATTGTTATTTTCATCCCTTTTATTATGATAGCTGAAAAATAAGATAACAGGCAGTGAACATGGTGACAGAATCTGAGCTGCTTCTGCTTTTGGTGTTAAGGTTGCAGCTCTTCCTCCCTTTGTCAGAAACTGTCCCATGCTCCGGTTTATATGTATACAGTCAGATTTTGCAAAGCATCTGTTCAGGCTGGACATGTATAGAACGTGTTTTAGGCTCTGTAGGGGTTTCAGGTCTCTTGGGAAAGACAAATGTACAGATGAAAAGTTTAGAAAGGCCAGTCATGATGGAACATGCTTTTAACCCCAGCATTCAGGAGGCAAAAGCAGGCTAATTTCTGTGACTTAGAGGCTAGCCTGGTTTACACAATGAGTTCCAGTGCTACCTAGTGAGACCCTGTTTCAATAAATAAGTAAAAATTTAAAAAGTTTAACAAAGCATTTCTTGGTTGACTACATGTAAAGTATCTTTTACAGTTACTTGTAGAATTTTGGTTTAAACAAATCATCTTAAGTTTCCTTTGCCATCTGTGTGTTCTGTGAAGTGGACAGGATCTGATGCATGCCGTTAGGGTCTTGAGTTTTAGGATCTGATGGATGCATGCCGTTAGGGTCTTGAGTTTTAGGATCTGATGGATGCTGTTAGGGTCTGAGTTTTAGCCTCGTGGATAGAGCTTTTGCTGAAAGTCAGAAGCTGCTCTCCTGTGGGTGGTAATTTCTTCCAAGGACAGGTATCAGCCTGGTCTAAGCAGTTGTGTGTGTTGTACGCTGACCATCTGAGGACAGACCGTGCTGCCGTGTTGGATAACACAGTCATCTGAAGCCCTGGGCATGACGACATGCCCGCCTTTAAGAATAAAATTTCTCTGTATGCTGGAAGCTTCTGTTTACTCTTTTTCTTACATTTCTTTCATGGCCACTGCTTCCCACAGCCACAGGGGGCAGTCTTCACCCAGTTCAAGGAGACATGGCCACTGGCACTGCTGTAGTCTCTGATGTGATCAAGGGACCTTGGCACACAAACCCAGGCTTCCAGGACATGGTTCTGGGTCTGTCCTGGTCTTCCAGGTGTTATCTACTACCCTCAGCTTAGTAAGAGCTCTTCTGCACTTAATGGCAGCCAGATGGTTCTAGATTTTGACCATTATGGCGATAGGGACAGTTGGGAACACTTGGCCGCATGTGTGGATTGCCAAGCTGTCTGTGCCAAAATGGTATATAGTACATAGGATTGCACTAGCAGCTGCGTTGTCAGTGTGATGGGTGAAGGTCATCTGAGCCACCTCCTCAGGATCTGTCACACTCTGGGGAGTCCCTCAGATCTGGCATGCTCCAGGGGATGAATAACCCCATGCCTTCCTAGAGGGCTGAGGGGGTTGGGTCATAGTTCCTGCAGGATCCCCACAGCTCCAGAGCCTGCCTTCTTACACCAGCTCTTCCCACTTGTATCCTATCTCCGTGTTCTCGAACATTGCAGTAAGGTTCCTGTTCTGACCTGTGCTTGTTTTCTTATTAGTATCCTTCAGACTCATCATCTAACTTGGCAAGTTTATTTGTATGACGTTAGTGAGCAGTTTTACTATTTAAGTCCTATCTTACTGAATATTAAAATTGTCTCCATTCTTAATAGCGGAAATGAGGAAACAGAGAGAATTCTATCACAAACTGGGCATGGAGGTACCAGGTGACATCAAGGGGGAGGCGTGCTCAGCCAAACAACACTTAGATCCCCGCAATGGTGAGTAACTGCATTAGGCCACCGTGCAATTCAGAGGCCCATTTATCAGGCTTTCCCTCACAGAGTACTTTATCTCAAGGCTTAGGTGGTTTTGACTATATTATGATGGTTGTTGAAAAGGCTCTTCATCAACCGTGGTAGCTGGACATGTGGGTGAGACTACAAGAGATACTAACTAGAAAATTCCTAGGGGTCATGTGGAAAAGAACAGAATTGGACAGGGGGCCTAAGAGAAAACTGTAGAAGGTAGATAATCCTTAAGATAAGATTCTAACTTTACTTGCTTTTTGGTAAAGAGCCCAAATGCCAGTTGGATTTGAGCATAAAATTAATTTGTGCTTTTAAGCCTATATCTAATAAATTATTCAAATCTTGAGTACTGGAACTTTGCTAGTGGGACCATGAAAGTTCCTAAGGTATCTCAAGACCACCCTGTATATCCTTAATAGCCTGAGGAGAGTTGGTGCCCGGGTCCCTGTGAGAGCCTGACTAGGCTTGGGTGGGGGTGAGTAGGGTAGATGGAGGTAGAAATCTGGTCTTGAGTGTGTGTCCGAACAGTAAAGGTCAGTGAGCCAGACTACTTAGAGAAGTAGGTGGCTGTGGTGAGTGCTCAGTGATCCTGGAGGCTTGTCTCTGCTGTGATCACCAGTTTTGGTCACTGTCTCCATCTCCTGAGTCCCTTAAGACACATTAGTCCAAATCCATTGAGCCACTTGAGACACATAATCCAAAACCTGCTTCACCCAGCTGCAGCCATAGGGCCTCATACCACAGGGTTGCTTAGTTCCTTAGCAAACATGCAGAATGGTTTTAACTGCTATCACTGGGCTCTTTGTATGTATGCTCTCATTAGAGTGAATGTCAACATCATTTTTAGTATACTGTGAGCGTTTACAAATACAACATTTTGGATTTCTTAATATGGGGTTCTGTTTGTCCAATATGGTTGGAGCCAAGTGTTTCAGAATTGGATTTTTTTTTGGAAAAGTTGAATATAATATTTTAATTCTGTCTTTTTCTACTTACAGCCTGTCATATGGGGTTAAGTATAAAAGCTTATACTTATACCTCAAAAAGTTTAACGTACTAGAACTTTTGATTAGAGAATTTTGGATTAGAGATATTTCAACCTGTACAACATTTTCTATTTGTGCTAAAAGGTGAAACCAAAGCAGACGAGGGTTCCAATAAAGAGACAGCAGAAGAGAAGCAGGAGGAGGACAACGACTACCACAGGAGTGACGAGCAGGTGAAATGCCCCCTCTGTAATGTCTCTGGCGTCAGCTCATTCCCATGTTGCCATACTTCAGTGTCTCATGAAATTGTAGCAGGGTAAAACGTCGTAGAGCTTTCCTCCTATTAACTCCTTGACCTTTGTTTATATTCCTATTGTCTGTTTGTTTTAATTATCCAAGCAGCACATCGTGACTACAAAGCATGTCAGACATGCAGAATCATGGTTTACCATCGGGTTCTATTTTCTACAGCCACTGCAAACACTCTTGGTGGTTTGGTGCCTTCTGTGCTGTGCCCCCAACCGAAGTCACCCATCAGCATGATGAAGGGAAGTGGGCATGCAATGTTGAGGACTCTCCATGTCTCATTTGCCACATTATCGGCTGAAAAAAAAAAAAGCGAAACCAAGTCAAACAAACAAAAACCATATCATCACATAAGTGCCATAGTCCCTGCTGACATAACTTTCTAATTTGTGAGTTCTAACAGTTGTGATACTTTTAATGAAATAGAATCAATACCTTATTAAAGCAAGGAATAAGGAAATGCCATGACTGATTGACTGTCACTGTGTTTAGAACTCCTCTCCCAGCAACTGGGAAACAAGAATGAGACACTTAAAGAGGAACAAAGATGCTATTATTCCTAGGTAATGCTGTCGTACATAAAACCTAAGAGAATCTGCTGAAAACAGGACTTACTTTGCTCCATGGCTGATTCGATCAGCATGTAATAATCAGTCATGTTGGGAATAGACAAAGAGCCAATGCATACCACCAAGAATTTTAGCATGATCTCCTTGGGAAAGAGAGGTCCTTTCTACAGTCTGACATGAGACATAATGCCAAAGTTGACAGGAAACAGCTACTGTAGAGCTTACTGGGAGGTGAATGTGTGTCTATAGCCATAAGATTGCTGCACATAGTGGGGGTGATCTTGACCCTATCAGAAGACATAGTAACTGAAACAGTATATTTGGGGCTGGAATGGTGGAATCTTATTTTTAACACGTCCATTTCTGCAGTTAATGATAGTCAGCACCACAGAATAGGGATAGGTTTGCAGATATATGTGGGATAAGTGTTCTTTCCTGTGGTGAGTGAAAGCATCAGTAACAGAGGTGACAGTCGATATTGTCTGTAGGTATCTTGGAGCAAATCTCAGGCAATATCTCCAGGTTTGACAGGCCCTGCCCTGTGGGCCATGTGCCTGCTAGCCTTCCTGGAGCAATAGTGTCCTTGCCTGGACTCAGTCCTGTGCTTTTGGAAGCCATGGATAGACCTTGCCCAGGCCTGGGCAATGCTTATGCCAGTTTGCTATAGATTGGCATAGAATTGTTTAAAATATTTTCTTTAATCTTTATTTTGTAGTTTAATTTTTTTCTATTGTTGACTGTTGTTAATTTTTGCCTTTTCCTTTTTATACCAAATATACTACTAGTTTTACTGTTTCTTAAAGCATATGTGGGGAGTGAATTTTGTTTTGGTCTGGCCTTTGGAACTAAACTCTGTGTATATTCTTGATCTCACACAGGCTGTGAACTTCCTGGGTGCCTTGGGTACAATCCCTGGCACTGACAAGCTGTGCCTTACTACTATTTCTGGAGAGGCATGAAGGCCGTCATCTTGCCTTTCTAGACAGTGTTCTCAAGTGTCCACCTGCACACCCTGCTGTGGCTATAGTATTTTCTACTTCCTTTCACTGGTATTTAGAGCATGTTGTCTGCTGATCTTGGCATGGAGTCCATGCTCCTGCTGTGGTCAGGTTCTAGTTTGCTTTTTTTTGTTGTTGTTGTTGTTGTTGCTGTAATAAACATAACCGAAAGCAGCTTGGGGAGGAAGGGATTTGTTTCATTTTTCACTTTACGGTCCAACATCAAGGGAAGCCAAGATAGGACCTGAAGGCAGAAACCTGAGGCAGGGATTAAATCAGGGACGCAGAGGAACCCTGCTTATTGACTGGCCTTCCTTCATCTGGCTTGCTTATCCAGCTCCCTTTTTCTTTTTTCTTTTTCTTTCTTTTTTTCCATTTTTGGTTTTCGAGACAGGGTTCCTCTGTAGCTTTAGAGTCTGTCCTGGAAATTTCTCTGTAGACCAGGTTGGCCTCAAACTCACAGGGACCTGCCTGCCTCTGCATCCCGAGTGCTGGGATTAAAGGTGTGCACCACCATTGCCTGCCTGCTTATCTAGCTTTCTTATACAACTCAGGATCACCTTAGGGTAGCACTGTCCACGGTGGGCTGGGCCTATCTCCATCAATTATTAGTCAACAAAATGCCCCACAGACATTCCCACCAGCTAATTTGATGTAGGCGGCTCCTGAGTTGACGTTTGCTCTTGCCAGATGTGTCAAAAAGACAACCAAGATTAGCCATAACAAGTGCGCTCTTCATCAGCTTGACATACAAACAAATCACTATTAAACGATGACCTTTGCTTTTTTGTTTTCCCAGGATCTTATGCTGATATGAGAATATAGAATGCAGTACAACTTTAAAGTCCCACCGCCATCAGTTAGCAATAATGAAAACTCCCTACAGATGTGCCCATAGAACAGTTGAGGGAGGCGGCAGTTCCTGGGTTCAGGTTCCTCCTTTCCAGGTGTGTCAAGTTCACAACCAAGATAAACCATCACAGTCCAGTTGTGCAGAGAGCCCAGGGAAGCTATGCTTTAAGTCACTGATTGGTCTGTACTAGCTGTAGTTAAGCACGTGGGACCTACAGCCCCGTCTTCTCAAGGCCTAACCCTAAGCTTAAGCTGCAGTTACCTTCATAAACTGTCTCTCTGCCTGTGCCTCAGTTTCCTTGCCTTTGAAATGGTTGTGTTTATGTCTTCCCAAGGCTTCTGTGGGGTACAGTTGAAGCCTGTGATGGACAATAAGGCATCAAGCCGGCTAAGGAGGAATTAGAGTTGATTTCACACTTATTTCCTCTTACCAGGTTCCCCTGAATCATCACTGCTTTCTGGTCTGTTTCTCTCTGGCCCTCGCAGTTGGACTTGTCGTAGGGAACACAGGCCGTGGCTGGCCCACACTCTGGGCGAGTGTGCTGTCCCCAGCTGAGTTCTTTTCTCTGCCATTTCTTTGCTTTGGTTCCTGAGTTTTCAGGCTTTGGTGCTGCCACTTTGCTTGGTTTCTCTCGAGACCTTGCCGTGTGTGATGCTTTAGTATGTAATGTAGGCTTTATGTTGTGTTTTTAACTGAAGATCCTATCTAACAATTGTGATGCTTTAGTATGTAATGTAGGCTTTATGTTGTGTTTTTAATTGAAGATCCTATCTAACAATTGTGTCCATAGCTGTCTTGCTTTTCCCTTTACTGTTGACCCGTCCTCCGGTTATTCCTTCCTTCTCACCCGGTAATCTGGAGATACTGTATCTTTTCAGTCTTTCATGGTGCTCTTACATTTTCGAAGATGCTTAAGTTTACATTTTTAAGTAATGCTTTTTTTTTTCAGAAGATTTTTTTTATGAATCAGAGTTGGATTTAATGAGGTTATTTTAATTTTAGTACAGGCTTAGGCTCAGAAGAAAGTAAGACACATCCAAAAGCTTGAGTGTGGTCTTTCAGAGAGTCATGGTCATTGTCATTTGTAATTTTATTTCTCACTAGTATCATAAATTGTTGCTCATTTTTATAAAAATTTTGGCATAACCTGGTGACTCAACACTTGTGGATGGCTGAGACGTACAAAAAGTGTGTATCAAGCCAGGAATGGTGGTTTACACCTTCATTTCTAGCACTTAGGATGCAGAGGATCTTTGAGTTCAATGCTAACCTTGTCTAAATATAAAGTTCCAGGCCATCCATAGCTACATAATGAGATCCTGTCTCCAAATTAAAAAAGTAGATAAAGTTTCTATACTGCAAATCCTGTTTTCTGAAGAATTGACAGGGATGGAAGGGTATCTTCCTGTGGGAGCCCCACCTGTCTTCAGTCTTAACTCTTTTGGGAGTTTCCAGCTGTCTAGGAACCTGCCTCATGGTTGGTGTAGCCGGACCACACAGGGAACCTCCTTCCTCATTTCTTCTTCCTCCTCTCAGCTTTGCCCCAAGTTGAATCTTTCCTAGGTCCTTTTTTCCTTTCTTTTGCCCTTGTTCATAGAGTGAAAAAGCCATCTGGACAGAACCGTCAACTATGTCACATTCTTTGTCGATGAGGCATGTGTTGCTACAGGTCTCTTTTCCTAAGGCCTGATTACTTCTTTTGGGACAGCCTGAGTAGCAGGCAGTTGGTGAGTGGAAAGGTGATTCTAATCACGTGTGTGTGTGTGTGTGTGTGTGTGTGTGTGTGTGTGTGTGTGTGTGTGTGTCTGTCTGTCTGTCTGTCTGTCTGTCTGTCTGTCTCCCACTCTCACACACACACACACACACACACACTGTTTCTCAGGAGATGCCATCTATAAGATATTCTCACACCCAGAAACCCCACCTGTGGTCGAGGGGCAGCTGCTAGCACAGGGGTAGGAATGTGAATCTTATTTCCTTAGCTCCCCCGTGTCTGCCATGGTGGGGCTTTGGGTATTGATACTATTATTATTTTTTGAACATCCATTGTGGGCTCTGGGGGTCTCCAGCTGACATTGATTCCTGTACAAGCGTTGTCCTCTTCATGGGGCTCTTGTGCAAGAGTGGAGGGTAGTCTGTCACCTCCTGCAGGGACACCAGGAGCACCAGGTCCCTTTCTGTGCCCCCCCCCATTGTCTCAAGCTGATCTACCTCCATCTATTGTCACTCTGAATTCTCCTAGAATTCCTACCTAGAGAGACCTTTGCAGAGCAGCCTCTGTACACCAAGTAGCTTTTTAGCTGTTCTCCCAGGGGACAGCGGTGACCGTGCTGCATTGACCGTTGGGGAGGCAGCTTTCTGCCTTTGGGTTTCTTGCAGCTGCTTTAAAATCCAGATCAGATGCTACAGAGCAAGACGGGAAGTCGTCAGAGTGTGGAGCAAGAGCAGGAGGTAGAGGAGAGACAGGAAGTAAAAGCCTGTGGCCTGGTTCCCTGAACAGTCTCTGTTGCAGACAGGAAATTCCCATGTTACCTGCAGCAAAGCATGGCCTCCACCCTAAGGTCTCAGCCTTCCCCACATATGCCTTGGGGTCTGGACAGCAGCAGCGGTGTGGGGAAAGACTCTTATCAGTCACCCTGACCATCTTCCTTGATGGGCTCTACCTCACCCTCTGAGCCTTACAAAGACCCTGGTGCTGTGGTGCCACCTTCCAGGGCCTTAGGAAGCCACACAGCCACCTCCTCTTGTCTCACAGATGGCTCAGACCCATAGTCCCATGGAATGAATGCACTCTGCTGTTTCTGCTCCTCACATTGGAGTAGACTGTGTGCATAGGTGTGCTTCGGGCCTCCCTGGGGCTCTTTGTCCATGATCACACCTTTCCTGACCACACCTGAGTCCTCTAGCCAGCGTTAAGCACAGGCCTACATACCTCACAAAGATGCAGACTCTGGCCCACAGCTGCAGCCATTTGGCTAAGTAGGTGTCAAGGGGGGCCACTGCAGTCCATCCACAAAGTTCACTAGGTGTGGGCAATTTTCTTTTAATTCTTGTTTCATGTATTACATCCCTACCACAGTTTCTCCTCCCTCCTCTCCTCTTGTGGTGGTTTGAAAGGAACTAGTCCCCAAAAGGAGGTGTGGTCTTGTTGGAAGTGTGTCACTGTGGAGGTGGGTCTTGAGCTCTCTTGCATGCTCAAGCCACACCCAGTGAGACACTTCATGTTGCCTGTCTGGCACCACGTCTGCCTGCATGCTGCCTTGCTTTCCACCATGGTGATAATGGACTGAACCTCTGAATTCTAAGTGAGCCACCACAATTCCGTGTTTAATTTTGTAGGAGTTGCCATGGTCATGGTGTCTCCTCTCAGCAATAGAAACGCTAACTCAGACAACTCCCAAGCCCTCCCCTCATCTCCCCTCTCCCCCGGATCCACTCCTCCGCTGTTTCCCTTCAGAAAAGAGCAGGCCTCCCAGGGATATCAACCAAACATGGCCTGTCAAGTCACAATAAGTCTAGGCAACCCAGTAGGAGGAAAGGAATCTCAAAAGCAGGCAAAAAGTCAGAGTCAGCCCCTGCTTCCCCTGTGAGGGGCCCACATCAAGCCGCACAGCCGTGACGTGTGGAGGACCTAGGACCCATGCAGGCTCCCTGATTGCTGTTCAGTCTCTGTGAGCCCACATGAGCCCTGGTTAATTGACTCTGTGTGCTATTGTGTCCTTGACCCCTCTTCCTTCCTCTCTCCCACAGGATTCCTCAAGCACTGTCTGATGTTTGACTGTAGACCTATTGCATGTCCTCCACTCAGTTGGTTCATGTAAATTTATAAACATTTCCACCCTTAGGGAGTGTCTTCTTAGGGACATTATTTCTCTTAAAGTTTGCCTTCTCTCTTATTAACCTAAGCCATATTTCTTTTGGTTAATATCCTAGTATTTCAGTTTTTAAATATCTTCCTCTAATATCTAACATCAACTAGATTTTATTTAATTAAACCAGAATTATTTTTCTTTTTTAAAGATTATTTTTATGTATATGAGTGTTTTACTTACGTAGATGTATGTACACCATTCTTGTGCCTGCAGATTCTTGGAATAAGTTTTAAGATGATTATAAACTGTTATATGAGTGCAGGGAACTAAACCTGAGTCTTGTGCAAAAGCAGCAAGTGCTCTCAATCACTGAGCCATCTCTCTAGCCCCTAGAAAATGTAGATGGCAAGTTAGTCAAATTTCCCATGACCACTGATAAATCTGAGTTGATTTCTGCTTTAACTTAAAATGTTTATTTTTTTTCTTGTGACTTCCCTTTTTGGCACTAGGTAGGGCTGGTGGCAGAGTATGTTTTCCTTCATTTTTTTTTTCATGTCTATGCTTTACAAGTTCTGTATTACTTTCCTGGTTACAAATTGCTTAAATGAATACATACGTTTCCAAAATCCATAGCTGGTATAAGTAAGCACCTTGCCCCTAAGATTCCTCCAAGTCTCCTTGAAAAGCCTCACCACCAACACAGCAATCCAAATCAGACCAAATCAAACCACCCTCAGGAAAGGGAGACTGGAAAACCACATGTCTGTTTTCTGAGGGGGCAATTTAAATACCTGTGGGTGTGGTCTTGAGCATCTGGTGGGGGGTCGTCATTTTTATGGCTTCCTGATATGAGGTAGGGTTTGGAGAGAGGTGAGTGCAAGGGGGCTTGGGGTGGAACTTCTACCGGAACATTCCAGGCTCTCTAGGTATGTGGATGCCAGGGGCTGGAGTGGAGCTTTTACCAGGACATTCCAGGCTCTCTAGGTATATGGATACCAGAGGCTGGGTGGAGCTTCCATCAGAATACTCTTTCCTATCTGTCTTCCTGAATCTTTTCCATAGTTGTTTGAAAGGCGCTCTTTTTCATTCTTGCTCTGTAATGTGGAATGGTAATCTGTTTTCTGATCTCTTGAGCGGTGTCTCCTTTCTCTCATTCTTGTTTTTTTGGGGGGGGGTTCTTTGTTTTTGGAGATGGGGTTTCACATAGAGCAAGCTGTACTGAAAATATCTGTAGCTGAGGTTGATCTTGAACTCTTGATCCACCTACCTCTACCCCCCCCCCAAGTACTAGGATGACAGGCCTAGGCCACCACATCCAATAGATGTGTCTTAGCAATGCTCTACCTCAGCCTGTGGTGTTTCTTTTTATCTTTTGTTTGTTTGTTTTGTTTTTTGAGAGAGAGTTTCTCTGTAGCCCTAGCTGTCTTGGAACTACCTTTTGTAGACCAGGCTGACCTTGAACTCACCGAGTTGCACCTGCCTCTGGAGTTCTGGGATTAAAGGTGTGTGCCACCAGCACCCAGCTTCTTTTCATTTTTTAAGGTACATTAAGAAATTTGTACTTTCCTTTAAGTTGCCCCCTTCTTCTTCCTCATCTTCCTCCTCCTCCTTGTTTTTGTTGTTGTTTTGTTTTTTGAGACATGGTTTCTCTTTGTAGTCCTGGTTGACCTAGAACTCCCTCTGCAGACCAGGCTGGCCTCGAACTCACAAAGATCAGCCTGCTTCTGCTTTCTGAGTGCTGGGATTAAAGGCGTGGGCCACAACTGCCTGGCCTGCGTGCGTTCGTGCGTGTGTGCAAGCTACATGTGTGCAGGTGCCTGTGGAGGCCAAAAGTAAGCATTGGGTACCCTGGAGCTCAAAGTTACAGGTGGTTGTGAACTGACCAGCTCGGGCTCTGAGAACTGAACCCTTCGTCCCTGGAAAAGCTTCACATACAGTACCCATGGCCACCTCTCCAGCGCCTTTGTTTTCATTTGATCGTTTGCTTTCCTGGCCTGCAGGTTCACCTCTCTCATCCTTCAGGGAACTCAGTTTTAACTTCTGGCTTCTCTTGTCCCTCACTCTATGCAAGTCTGGAATTCGCCCATCTGTCTTCCTTAATTCTGATACTTTAATTAATTCAATCTTTGCCTTTAAATTTAAATTCTCACTAGTAATTTCCTCAAATGATATTTGAGAAAGTTTTTTTTTATCTTGAACAGTTAAGGCACCGAATATTTTTAGCTTCAGTGAATGTATTTACTATTTTTAGAAGTTATATTTTATTTTTATGCCTGCATAATGTTCTTTAGTCAGTACCTTATATTTTTAATCCTTCCTTTTCTATCTCTTAATACAAATTTAATTATTTTACCTGAATTTTCAGGAGTTTGAGTGAACCCTTGTTGGAGGAACTTTCTCTGCAGCCCTTATCCCAAGGCTTTGTCTCTGTGCAGCAGATTCCGTTTGCTCTGCCTAGAACCCTTGACTTGTTAGGGCCCAGCAGTGAACTCCACTTGCAGGTTCCATGCCACCGTGGAAAATAGTGGCCCACCCAGAGCACCCTTCTTAGTGTCAGCTAAGGCTTTTCTCATGGCCTTTCTATGGCAAGAACACACCTGTTTCCTCTACAAACCTTGCTCAGTACAGGACTTGTCTGGACAGGGGCAGCCACTTGAGAACATGAGGGACTCAGTGCCCTTGGCATATACAGACACATAACTCTCAGGGCGATTATGAGTTAAGAAGACCAAGATGGCAGGCTAGAGTGTTTCTCAGCATCACAAAGACTCTAAGGAGGCTTTAAAAGGAGGTATAAACTGACTGAGGTGACAGTCCTTCTGCAGTGTTGTTCTGGTTTCAGAAGGCCTGTGCTCGTAGCTGTAGGAGCTAGTGCTCATCCAAGAAGACTCTAAGAGTGGCAGTCCCGACCTCATGTCCTTTCTCTTCCAGGTCAGCATCTGTCTGGAATGCAACAGCAGCAAACTACGGGGCCTGAAGCGCAAGTGGATCCGATGCTCAGCCCAAGCCACAGTGCTGCACCTGAAGAAGTTCATCGCCAAGAAGCTCAATCTGTCCTCCTTCAATGAGGTAGTGTCAGCCAGAGAGTGGAGACGGGGCCTTCTTCCCTGCCTTGTTTGTTAAAATAGCAGCCAGACATGCACACACACCCCCCCTTTTAGTAGTCTTGTTTGGAGATTCTTTTTAAAATGTTTTAATTAGATTTATTTGTGTGTGTGTGTGTGTGTGTGTGTGTGTGTGTGTGTGTGTGTGTGTGTACATATGCAGTGGCATTTCATGTAGATCAGAGGAGAGCTTGCAAAAGTCAGTTCTCTTCCTCCTTTTTGGAAATCCCTCTATAGACCAGGCAGGCCTTGAACTCATAGAGATCCGCCACCTCTGCCTCCCAAGTGCTAGAATTAAAGGCACAAGCCACTACCACCCAGGAGAAATTAGGTTGGTTTTTCTTCTTATAAAAAATTTACTTCTTCTTTTATATGTATGAATGTTTACTCACATGTATATGTGCCCACAGAGGTCCAAAGAGGACATCAGAGCCTCTGGAACTGGAGTTACAGACATTTTTTAGCCACCCTATGGGCAAGGGGTACCAAAATGTTCTTAATCACTGAGCCAATCCTCTCTCTAGCTCCTTGTTTGGAAATTTTAATAAGGAAAAAAAATTAATTTGTTTTTCCTATCCTGCCAGTTAGTATGGAAGGAAATAACAGTGAAAATGTATAAAACACAGAGAATAGATTATTTGAGAATAAATTACAGTTGTACATAATAAATTTCAGTTTTATATGTGCCTGTGAGCAGCATGATAAGGCCAGAGGAGGACACTGGGTATCCTGCTCTTTTCCTCTCCGCCTTATTCCTTTGTGACACACTGTCACTGAATCTGGAGCCGGTCTGGCAGCTGGTCTCACAGTCCTCCTATCCTCCTGTCCCTGTTCTTCCACAGCTTTTTGTTTTTGTTTTTTGAGACATGGTTTCTCTGTGGAACAGTTCTGGCTGTCCTGGAACTTACTCTGTAGACCAGGCTGTCCTCAAACTCACAGAGATCCGCCTGCCTCTGCCTCCCGAGAGCTGGGATTAGAGGTGTGCGCCACCACTGCCTGGGTCATGCCCAGATTTTTATTTAGGTGCTAGTCTCTGAACTCAGGGCCTTATGTAGAGCAAGTACTCTTAACCACTGAGCCATCTCTGTAGTCCCAGAGCTTTGTCTTTTAATTTAGTGAGTGAGTAGGTGGGTGGATGGATGAATGAACAGGAGACGGATATGACACTCACTTACAAATAAATAACTGAAAACAAAGTAGACCCAGAAACCCAGGGCTTGTTGTGGGGGTTCGTGGCAGAGACTTGTGAGCATATGGGCTCAGAAACCCAGGCTTGTGTGGCACTTGGGCAAGAACAGCAGGAGCTAGTCCTGCTCCATCAAGGAAGGGTCAGCGATTTCAAGTGTTGCCTTGAAAGAGTTCTGAGGTTGTGTAGAAAGGACTGAGCGGGCACACTGCCCTTGTCAAGACAGAAGATTCAGCATGTTGCAGCAGGTACATGTGAGTGGTTGAGAATAGTTTAGAGTAGTATATAGAGCTGTACTAGCCATTGTTCAGACTATCACTGTTGGCCTCATTCTAATGGTAGGTTGAATATGTACCTAATTGAAGCCTCTTCTCTCACTAGCTGGACATTTTATGCAACGAGGAGATCCTGGGCAAGGACCACACTCTCAAGTTCGTGGTTGTTACAAGGTGGAGATTCAAGGTGAGCCTGGGTGGTTCTTTTGGATGCCAGGTTTTAGATAGATTCTTGATCCTTGCTTGCCATGCATGTCTTCTATTTGCAGACATTGCTGTGGAGTAGCTGTCTTTCTGGAGTCATCCACTCAACCAGGGCCTTTACTCACCACCCCACTCACCACTGAGTGTAGGGGACCAGATGTGGTAACTGTCACAGTTAGAGCAAACTCTCAAGCTGTAGGGTCAGGGAACTGGTGTTGTGGTCCCTGCTCAGGACTGGAATGCATTCTTTCACTTCGAGCCCTGTTTCTGCCTAGGAAGAAGGGGTTGGAGACAACTGTGCTAGTCAGAGACCGGGATGGCCAGTAGTTGGTGCTGACCAGAGCAAGGTTTGGAAGAGTTAGAAACTGCTTAGGAGAGACCAGAGCTAGTGGAGCAGGCAGGAGTTGCAAGTCGAGGTTCTGATTTCGCAGGTCCTATCATGAGTCCCAAACACCACACAGGTGACCACTGAGTCACCTGAGACCAATGACTTTTACCCCTTGTCCCCAGAACTGGATTCAGTAGTGGCATTGCTGGTACAGTGTGTACCTGTGGTGAGTGCGCAGTGTAGGCTCCTTGTACGTTCCTGAGCCACCTTTGTCTTTCTTTGTCTTGCAGAAGGCGCCCCTCCTGCTACACTACAGACCCAAGATGGACTTGCTGTAAGCCCAGCCAGACTCAGCCCACACCCAGCGCTCTACACGGCAGAACGAGCCGTGGAATGTTGCCTCTGGGTGCCATGTGGACCAGATTTCTGAATAGAGAATATTTATAACTTTTGTATGAGAGAATCCACTCCCAACAAGACACTACCAGCACGCGTTTACAGAGGATGAAAACACTTCGCAGTTCGCTCGTCTCTGCTTCAGGTCCCCAGGCCAGAGAATAAGTGAAATAGTGACACGTTTCCACACCACGACTGAATACAGCACCTCTGCTTGCTTTCCAAGTCTTGAGACTCTGAGTTCGTTTTGATTTAATTCATGAATTAGGTTTCATGATAAGCCTCAAAAATACTTGTACTTTCATTAAGTCCTTCCTAAGTTATTGAAAGTCTTTTCGTGGTATATATTTATGTTGCCTTTAGCTCCCTGAAGACGTAAGAGATATATAAAAATTTAATTTAAAGTATACCCAAAGAGGCTTGCAGTAATACTGTTATTTAGCCATGGTGTTTCATTTCCCGCTTTCTAGAGTACAGGAGAGGACCATTCCCCAGTTTGATTGAGCCTTGTGCTGTGCACCTGGGATTGGCCTGTGCTGGGTGGGTAAGGCAAGACCCTTCCTCACTCCCAATGTCGTGTGGCTGCAATTCCGGTACCTTCAGTAAGGCAAACTAGAGGCGATACGGCCAGTGCAGCACTGGCTTGTTGAAAGTTCTTGAAGTAATTTTCCTTGGAAAGGCCATTACTGAACTTCCCGTCTTTCTCTGTTTGTTTTTCTTCTGCTGGCAAGATGTGGTGGCGGCTATGTTTGTCAATTAACAAACAGCACAAGCCATCCTTTGGGGAGACCTTGTAAAGACACTTGGGAGGGGGCCTCTAGCCTCCATGTTCCTGGCCGTTGGTATTCCCAGGCTTGCCTTCCTGCTCACGGGGTTAACATGCATTCATTGGGTTCCTTTTTCAGGACAGGTAACTGAGCAACCTGTTCAGCAGAAGTTGCTTTTTTTAATCACAGACAGGATACTATTTGTTAGCCTGCTCCTTCACATGTAATTTTGTTTCGTTTTGTTTCATTGGGCCAGAGAATAAGATGCCAGCCTATCCAACTTTATTCTCTCTTAAGGGATATGAAGGCAAGAGTAAGGAGAAGGGGTTCTGCCCTGGGCCTCCCAGGGACCTCTCTCAGTCTGGGTGCCCTCTTAGCTCCCCCACTTCCTGCCCTCCCAGACCCCATGGGAACTGTAGAACCCTGTGATCCCTGCGGTACCTCTGCTCTCGGCGGGCAGATGAGGGTCTTAGTGTGTCCCTTAGGGCCAGGCTTTCAGAGTCTTCGCCTTAGCAACTGGAATTTTTCTTGGATTTGCTTTGACAGTTGGGATTGGGTTTCTCAATACCCTCTTTTCTTCTACTTCCTCTTTTACTTACACAGTGTCAGAAGCAGCGACTAGTGAGACCTAACGTTACTAAAGATAAAACATCCAAATTAGCTCAATCGTTAATGTGTGACCTTCTAAAACAAAAGCAAGTTCTTTGTTTGGAATTGATCAAAATTCACCTCTCTATTTAAGCCCAGGACTGTTTGGATTATTCAGTTTCCTGAGTTTGCTATTCATCCAAATCATTTCTAGAGTTATTATTCAAGGGTTTATGCGTAAATATTACCTGTCTACCTCAGAACACAAGTGCTGCTGCAACATTCTGCAAGACCGTGTTCTCACAATGCAGTTACATTAGAATTTAGGTATTTTCCCCATGTGGTGAGATTAAAGAAGAGTTAAACAGTTAGAAACCTCCAAATTAAAATAAAGTCAATTTACAGTTCAGATCAAACTTAGTATGGCTGTATGATCTCATGATATATATTTGTAACTTTGTAGCTACTTTTAGAACCACTTGACTTTGCTATGGTGCTAAGTTGATAGATCTAAGTATTCAGCGAGGCAGACATCGCACCTGATGTCCTAGCTGGGCGCCACTGCCCCAATAGCCCTGCTTCTGTCACCACGTTAAACCTGATAAACCTCAGCAGCAAAAAAAATACCTATTTTTCTAAGATTCCATCACGCGCCTGTCTGCACTGCAGGCAGTTTCCCAATGCCCTTCCGCCCTTTGGTCTGACCTGTAGCCTTACCTCGCTCATAGATGAAGCAGAGTGCTTGCGTCAGATGGAAGCTTCCAGGCGCCTTGTTTCACTCCTGCAAAGCTCCATGTGACACCCAAGGCCAAATTTTATTTTTTTCCAGCATGAACACTAGGATCAGTTGGTGATTGATCCTGTCCAGCTTTCTCAGCAGGCGGAGCTCCTGTGAAGTTGTTTTCATAGCTGCCGATGCTAGAAATCGGTGCGTCCAACTGGCAGCCCCGGGACCAGCCTCCCAGCACGTGGTCTCGCTCAATACCGTTTTCACGGAAAATAGAAAACTCAGATAGAATATATAATATTGAATTTAAGATTTGGGGGGTTAAAAAAAGAAAACTTAACTTTATAAAATTATTTATTCTATTTTAAGCCTTCTATCATATTTTCCCATCCAGTTGTTTGGTTTCTGTGGTCCAGCTTTATTTACAGGCATATAAGATAAAATTGTGAGATGTTTTGCAAGCTTCTTTTACTTTTTGTAGCCTTTGGTTTGTATGTTTTTATAGGGATGAAGAGCATTTTTATGCTTTTGTGCAATAGGCTCCAACATGCATTTACTAGAGTGTTTAAATTGTGATCTAGCATCGATTCTACTAAACTGAAAGGGAATATGGGTGGAATTTCAATATCTGTGCATTCAGCTATTTGGTTTTGCCTTTTCCACTGTTATAAGAATGCTGTAAACTGGGATTGCGTGAGTGTGTGTGTGTGTGTGTGTGTGTGTGTGTGTGTGTGTGTGTAGATATGTTCCATCGATATTAAAAGATAAGCAGCCAGGCAGGAAGTGATGAGATGGCGCCATGTTAGGCTTGGCTTCGACTGTGGGTACACCCAAGTCCTTGAGCTGAGTATGTGGCTGAGCCATCCTGGGAGTTGGGGTTTCATTGTCTCCACCTATAAACCTGGCAGTGCTGCTTTTCATAGGCCTACTGGCCCCTGATGCCTGCCCTGGCATCAGGATCTTTAGAGGCTGGTGTGTTTTGTTTCTGAGGGCATACAGGGTGGTGTATCACAGTGCTCTGAAATGTATCATTAGATTACATGTTCCAGGAATGAGCCAACTGAGTTCTACTTTATGTATCAATATATAATGTGCTCCTAAAACACTTAAATTTAGTGCAGATAGTGATCTCTCTCTCTCTCTCTCTCTCTCTCTCTCTCTCTCTCTCTCTCTCTCTCTCTCGCTCTCTCTCACACACACACAGACACACACACACACACACACAGTATCTGTTTCCTCAGGAAATCATTTAAGCCCCAACACATCACAGGTGACCTTAACATGAAAACAAGTTTTCTCTGCCTTGATCTTAAATATACCAAGTAAACAAACTGGGATACACAGATTAGAAGAATCACTTACTTGTACCACCACAGTCTGCATATCTTGCATTCCTCCGGGCAGGGAGTACTACCATTCAGGCCCCCAACAGGAACAGCTGTGTGGTGCCGTGGCTCGCACAGCCAGTGTTCCTAATGTCACTTACTCCCATCCAAGAGCACATTTGGAGAAAGACGTGTGTGTCGCTTTAGCACGTCAGTTCGAGCTCTCAACATGACACACTTCTCCCAAGTGAAAGTAACATCAGCTCACAGACAGCAGTACCACTGAGCTCTCTGACCTTGGAATGCAGCCACAACTAACAATTGTCATGGTGTATGAAATGATGCAGATTCAGATTTTTGACTGTTTAATTTGAAAGTTTACATTTTTTATGATTGTGTTAGTGTGTAATTTTTGTACCATCAGTGGCTAGTTTTTGTCTGAAATCTTTTTTGGAATATTGCTTAATGTTTTGATTTCATGATAGTGAAGCTTGTATTCAGTGTTTTGCCAATTAATAATTATATGCTTGTAATAAAAGCAGAAGAAAAACTTAACTAAAATCTCCTGGACTGTAAATGTTTTACCTGAAGTATCTGTAAGAGCTTACGACAGATCATGATGTTACAGAGTATAATCACCCCTCTCCGTTTGTAGTTTCAGTCATCAAGGGATGGAAAATAGTCATAAAAATACACAGATTTTTTTTTATTTGATATGGTTTTAGCTTTTGGGGTTTTTTTGAGACAGAGTCTCTTTAAGTAGTTCTTGCTGCCCTAAAATTCTCTGGGTAAGCCAGGTGTTGGTGGTGCACGCCTTTAATCCCAGTTCTCGGGAGGCAGAGGCAGGTGGATCTCTGTGAGTTTGAGACCAGCCTGGTCTACAAGAGTTAGTACTAGACAGCCTCCAAAGCCACAGAGAAACCCTGTCTCAAAAAAAAATAAAAAATAAAAATAAATTCTCTGTGTAGACTGAACTGGCCTCTAACTCACAGAGATCTCCCTTCCTGTGCCTCCTGAGTGCTAGGACAAAAGGTGTGGGCCACCATGCCTAGCCACAGTGTATAAAAATTAGCTGTTTTATAAAAGGAAATTGAGCCGGGCGTTGGTGGCGCATGCCTTTAATCCCAGCACTCGGGAGACAGAGGCAGGCGGATCTCTGTGAGTTCGAGGCCAGCCTGGTCTACAAAGTGAGTTCCAGGACAGCCTCCAAAGCTACAGAGAAACCCTGTCTCAAAAAACCAAAAAAAGAAAAAAGAAAAGAAAAGAAAAGTACCATAGACGCTCACCACTGAGGCCTGCCTAGCCGAGCTCAGGAGCACATGCTCACTGAATGACAGTAACTCCAGAACACATGAGCGTGCTGTCTGTGGCCCTGGGTTTACTACCCCTTCCTCTGTTCTATATGTCACTTCTAAAACGTTACTCTGGATACAGGACTTCATTTAAATTGACCCAGCCTGGGGTACCAGAGTTTGACAGAAACACATGTGAAATCAAGTGTGATTTGTCCAAGAGGAGCACTGGTCAGACATAAAGTTTCTAAAAGTTAAGTCATGCAAGCCTGAGGAAACTAAAGTTGGAAGGCAAGAAGTTAGTGACAAAATTAGGTTGTGATGGCCTTAACTAAGGTCTGTGTGGTGTGTGTGTGTGTGTGTGTGTGTGTGTGTGTGTGTGTGTGTGTGTGTGTGCGCGCGCGTGCGCCAGGGGAAGATGTTAAATGTCCTACTCCGTCACTCGCTGCCTTACCCTTGAGACGGGTCTGTCACTCAATCTGGAACTATGGAGTGGAGTGGCAGGCAACCTCTTGTGGTCCTCCCATCTCCCCCTCTCATTACTGGAATTGTCGGCATGCATAACCACATCTAGCTTATGTGGGTTCTGGGGATTTGAACCCAGGTCCTCGTTTGCTTTCACAACCATGCTTGTCGGCTGAGCCACCCCCTTAGCCCCTGACTTAAGTTTCTTTTTCTTGCTTTTGGCCAGTTATTACACATCTTAACAGTTGTCAGGATATAGCTATACTGTAGGCAAACAGGGAGTAACTGTGTTAATTACTTTTCTATTACCATGACAAAAACACCATAACCAAGGCAACTTATATAGAAGAAGAAAAAAAAAAGCAGGGCTACAGACTAGAGGGATGGCTCAGTGGTTAAGAACACTGGCTGCTCTTCTGGAGGTCCTGAGTTCAATTCCCAGCAACCACATGGTGGCTCACAACCATCCGTAATGAGATCTGGTACCTTCTTCTGGCCTACAGGTATACATGGAGTGCTGTATACATAATAAATAAATAAAATGCTTTTTTTTTAAAAAAAGGGGGGGGAGCCAGGCGTTGGTGGCGCACGCCTTTAATCCCAGCACTCGGGAGGCAGAGGCAGGCGGATCTCTGTGAGTTCGAGGCCATCCTGGTCTACAAAGCGAGTTCCAGGACAGCCTCCAAAACAATACAGAGAAACCCTGTCTCAAAAAACCAAAAAAAAAGGGGGGGGTAAGCATTTAATTTGAGGTTCAGGTTCAAGGTTCCAGAGGGTAGTGGAGCACATATGACTATCATGGTGTGGAGCATGGCAATAGGTAGTCAGACTTGGTGCCGAAGCATTAGCTGTGAGCTTACACAATTAGGTAACAGCCCTAAGTGGAATGGCATGGGCTTTTGAAACCTCCCCCAACGAGGCCTCACCTCCTAATGTTTCCCAAACAGCTCCACCAACTACAGGACAAGCATTCAAACGTGAGTCTGTGGGGGTCCATTCTCATCCAAACCACCACAGTAGGAAACGCAAATCTATAGATCCACGTTGGTTGCTGCCACCCACTTTCCAGGTGAGATCAGTGGTTGGCAGGGTGTGAGATTGCTGTTGGGAGCTGCTGTACACGACAGGGAGATGGTGTCTGTCCCTTCAGAGGTCCTCAGTTGCCACATGGGTGCAGGCCCAGGGTGCCTCTGGCATGGTAGGTAGACTTGTTTCTCTAGAGCTTTGCTGTGTGCTCTACCTGGCCACATGTGGCATCATGGAGTCAGATGTGGTCTTGTGAGCATCAAATGTGACCACCCTGACATGCAATAGGCAGGTGAAAACGGGTGGTGTTTTGATGGGGTTATCAACAGGCATTGCTCTTCAAAAGCACGCTTTTCCTGGGGAGACGTTTACACAAACATCTGTTCACCCCAGAGCAAAGTACAGGTACCACCGAAGTCCAAGTTGATGAACGGATGCATTTCACTGGGTTTTACTTCGAAGAGCAGAAATTACTCAGTCAGCTGCCTCACCAAAAGCCCAGCCCAGCATGGATGACAGTTTATAAAAGCTGGAAAAACCTGGAACACACTGAACATCCTACAGTCAGCTCAGCGGGTTGCAGGTTTGGTCCTTTCCTAGGGATTCTGTTGGTCTGAACTTCTTCAAGGCAGCCCAACTACTCTCTTGTCTTTGCTTCTTCCTGGAAGCTAAGCTGATCTGAGAGAGCAGTCTTCACTGTTTAAATACTCATGGGGAGGAGGGGGGCTAGCAAATCTGATCAGTTTCAGGGACTTCCTGAAGCAATCTTGAGATGCTATCTTCCTGGCTTTAAGGAGCTTCTCTGTAGGATGGAGCATTTCACCACCCCACCCCACCCACCCCACCCCCATAGAACATCCCCATCCTAAAAAGATCCTGTTGTTTCGCTTCTCTTTTAAATCCTATGTCTAAAGTTTCCCTTCAAGATGGAAGGCTTTAGCCTTGGAAGAAATTGCTAAGCAACAGGAGCATGCACTTTCCATAGAGGCCCAGAAGGTTTACTGATTCCCCAAGACAGGTCTTCGTCTAATTCTGGTTCTTAAGACTAAAGACATTCCATTTTCTTCAGCTTGGCCAGTAAGGGTTTGGGGGAGGCCAGTGTCGGGGGAAAAATCGCTCCCCAGCAACTGGCGAATGTTCCTTCTACTAGAAAGATTTATCTTATTTTACCAGCATGTTGCTTTAAATGTGAGTTAACAGTGTCTTGTTAGCCCTGAAGAAAAGAATGAGGCCAGGGGTGGTGGTGGATCATACCCGTAATCCCAGCACCGAGAAGGCTGAGGCCTAGACTGCAGCAAGTGTGAGGGATCCTGGACTTCAAGGTCTTTTAAAGGAGCGTGGGGGAATGGGATGGACGGAACTGGAAAGATGGTTCAGTGGTTAAGAGCACTCAGTTCCCAGCACCCACATAGTGCCCGCCAACCAGCCATCTGTAACTTAAGTTTCAGGGGTCTCCTGATCTCCGTGAACACTAGACACCTACATGGTGCTCAGACACACAAGCATGCAAAACACTCAGACACAAAGATTGATCTTTTATATGTTCCAGGACAGCCAGAGCTGTTACACAGAGAAACCCTGTCTTGAAAAGCCAAAGGAAAAAGAAAGAAATTTGTACTACTTGTTTATTAAGTTAAATCTTCAAATAAAAGCAAAACTGTTAACTTTTTTTTAAACACATACAGATTCACTATAATCAAGAGACAGAAAAGTTCTGTCACCTCAAGGAACCCTTTAATACAAATCCACTGTTATCACATCCTAGGCTATATCCTCTTCTTGAAAATGCCATTAATAGAATTGTCTATATATAACCTTTGCAATTTGATTTCTTCGCTCTATCTGTGAGATACATCCTATTGATTACATCAGTACTGCTCACTTAGATACCGAATGGCATTTCCCCGGGTGAGCACAATAGATTGCTGGGAACCCGATGTTATATTTTCATTTCAGTTGTTTTAACCTTTTTAGGTTTAACTTACATACATGAGTGTTTTGTTTGCGTGTATGTATTTGCATGGTGTGTGTGTGGTGCCCACGGAGGCCGGAAGGCAGCACTGAATCCCTAGAGCTGGACCTGCAGACCATTGTGAGCCACAAAGTGATTGCTAAGAATTGAGCCTGGGTCTCTTAACCACCCAGCTGTCTCTCCAGCTCCCAGAGCTTCTTTTTTTTTTTTTTTTTTTCTTTGGTTTTTTGAGACAGGGTTTCTCTGTGGCTTTGGAGGCTGTCCTGGAACTCGCCTGGTAGTCCAGGCTGGTCTCGAATTTACAGAGATCCGCCTGCCTCTTCCTCCCGAGTGCTGGGATTAAAGGCGTGCGCCACCAACGACCAGCCGAGCCTGGGTCTCTTAACCACCCAGCCGTCTCTCCAGCTCCCAGAGCTTCTTTTTTGTCCACTTATTATATGGCTGCATCTTTTGCGCAGTGTCTGTCCAAGTCCCTCCCACTTTTGAGTTACTCGTTTTCGTACTGTTGAGTTTTAAGAAGCCCTTGCATTTTCTGAAGCCATTTGGGTGAGTGATTTGCTAATATTTTTTTCATCATCTCCACTTGTCTTTGTTTTCTCCTCCCCCCACCCCCGACATTTCTGATAGATCTTTCTCTCATAAAGTCACATTTATAAGTCTGTGTTTCTTGGATTCCTTTGTGGATTTTTTTTAATGTCACATCTAAGATCTCTGCCAAATGCCGAGTCACAAAAGTATTTATCCCAAATGTTTTATAGTTTCATGCTTGTTGCTTATATATGATGTATTCTGACCTAATG